CGCTTAAAATGCCTCCTTCTTTGGGGGAGCTCTCTGAGTTCTGATTCCCAGCTCAATGGCGTCCCTGGCATCTAGAGCCCATTATTCACTTGCTTATCCTGCAGCGCCACCAGGTGTCTTTATTTACTATTGCACATAATATTTGCCATTTCATTCCAAATTCTAAACCTGCTGTGTATCAATACCCTTTTGGTCGCAAAAGCACTATCTTCAAGTTATTAGAATTTCTAAATAAACGTTTTCTAATTTAATTTTCAGTAAAAAACCTGTACGAATAAAATAAATTGATATATTAGACTTCATGTTCTTCTGAATATATGAAGAAACCTTTATTGTGGGTTTACGATTTATTGAATTTATAAGATTAATGATAATGTATAATTACAAAATTTCAATTTTACAAAAATTACTTTGATTTCTAAGTGTAACATTCCATCATAAAAAGTAAAAAATATCACAAAAATATCACAAATATGTGTACAACTCAGTGTATACTCATTTTTTATTAAAGGTAGAGATTTTTGCTAAATGTCATCTTTCTTCATATGTGTGTACTTTATGCTCATTTTAAAGTTATATACAACATTAGAATATACTTTTATATAATCAAATTGATGGAAAATATTTTTGTATAATTCACTTCTGAGCTGTCCCAGAAAGTCAAAGTTTGAATGTTTTCTCTGATATGTGGAAACTAATGGCAAGATGGCTGGAGTATTTGGAGAATTCCATCAAAATATAGGAAAGATTAATAGAGTAGTCCAAGGGAAAGAYAGAGGGACCAAATAGGGGCAATAACAGTAGAACAAATCTAAGCAAGCTTTCATATGTACATACATGAATATATCACAGTGAATCTTAAGTCAATTAATTTTAAAGTGCATACACTAATATAAAAGGATTCTAGATTAAAAATTGAAGCAATACCAAAACTCAAGAATTCTTCTTTTATTGTTTGTTTTTACTTGCCCCCAAAAGGCAAGCACCATCCTGACTTCTATTATCATAGCTATCTCTGCCTCTTTTGAACTTGTAAACAAATGAAGATATAGAGTATTACTATTATGTCAACCTTGTTTCAGTTAATATTCTATTAAGTAAAACTGACCTGTGTCATGTTATTCTAATGTTTTTTGTATGCATTGGTTTTGTATGTATATACCATGGTAGTTTATACATTGTGAAGTGGCTGAAAATTGGGGTTTTCCAGCTTTAAGATTTTTTTTTTTGGTTCTACCACAATACATGTTGAATATGCTCATAGGATTTGGATTTTTGTGCATTAATACATGCATATATATTTAGATTTTTAAATATTGTAAAATATTTTTCAAAAGTAGTAATAATGCCAGCAAAGTTTGGGAGTTCCAGTTTCTTCATATTCTTGTCAACATTTGATGTTGTCTTTTCAGTTTTCACCATTCTACTGAGTGTGTGATAATATCATATTGTGATTTTAATTAACATTTCCTTGGTGTTTTATGAAACATGCACATTTTCACAAATTTGTTGGCKATTAATTTACATTTTTATGAAGTGCTTGTTGAAGTCTTTTGTATATTTTTCTATTTGGAACATTTGCCTCTTTCCTTATTAGACTGGAAAAGTGTCTTCTATATTGTTGAAATATCTTTTTCAGATACATGAATTGCAAATATGTCTTCCCACTATATGCTTGTTTTTTTAATAATTTTTGAGATCTTAATGGTTACACATAGAAGTTGGGTTCTATGCTTTTATTTAAAGTTTATTATGGTGACATTGATCAAGCTGTCTTTAATTTGGTCTGATTTATCAATACATTTCATTATAGTTGGCAGTTTGTGTGTACTAGTTAAATCTTTTGCATACTCCAAAGCATGTTATATTCTTATATGTTTTGAAAAACTAATAACTATATTTTACCAGTTGAAAACTATAATCAACTTTAAATTACTTTAAGTGAGTAATGTTAGGATCATTTTTCATGGAAATATCCAAATGACTTTGAACCATTAATTGGGAAGATGCTTCCCATTATTTCTGAAATGACATTATTGTCTTAAATCAGGTGACCACACGTTGGCTTAAGTATTTTATTTTTCTGTTTATCCTACAATACCACATTCTATTGATTACCATAGCCTTATCATTGAATTTTGTATATAAGAGGTAAATCCTCCATTTAAAAATCAATGGACTGTTTTAAAGAGAAGTTTTAGACTCACAGAAAATAAATCAGAAGGCAAAGAGATTTCCATATATCCCTGTCCCCACACATCCACAACCTTTCCTATTATCAACATTCCCCTATTAGAGTTGTACATGTCTTACAATTGCTGTCCCTACATTAAGACATCATCATCACTAAGCCTATAGTTTAAATTAAGGTTAATTACTTGTACTGTACATTGTATGAGTTTTGACAAGTGTGTAATGACATGTATTCACCTTCAGAGTATCATACAAGGTAAATTCACTGCCCTAAAAATCACCTAGTATCCCTCACCTGAACTCACTGTAAACCACAGATATTTTTACTGTCTCCACAGTTTTGCCTTTTCCAAAATGTCATGTAGTCAGAGTAGTACATTATAGAGTCATTTGAGATTGACTATTTCATTTAGCAATACGTATTGAGATTTTTCTCCATGACTTTTAAAGGTTTGATGGACATTTATTTATTTCTTATGTGTGTTGAATGATAATATTCAATGTCTGGCTGTACCACAGTTCACTTATCCATTTGATTATTGTTGGACATCTTGATTTTGACAGCTATGAATATAGCTACTATAAACATCACCTTGCAAGTTTTTGTGTGGTTCTAAATTTTCACCTCTTTTGAATATATACTAAGGAGCAAGATTGCTGCATCAAATAGTAAGAGTATATTGAGCTTTGTAAAAAGATGCCAAACTGTCTTCCAAAGCCAGTTGTACCATTTCTCATTCCCATCTGCAGTGAATGATAATTCTTTTTTGCTCCAATCTTCCTCAGCTTTTGGTTTTGTCAGTGAGCTAGAGTTTGTACATTCTAATGGTTTCTTGGTGGTATCCCAATGTTATTTTAATTTGCATTTCCCTGATGACATATGATATACAGCATGTTTTCACATGCTTATTTGCCATATATCTATTTTCTTTGGTAAATTTGTTTGTTATTTTGTCCAGTTTTAAATGAGAATGTTGGTTTTCTTATGTTGAGTTTTAACAGTCTATATATTTTGGATAATAGTCCTTAGTAATATGCCTTTTTCAAATATTTTTCTAATATGTGATCTGTCTTTTCATTTCATTTGTAGACTCTTTGGCAGAGTAGAAAATTTTAATTGTACTGAAGTTCAACTTATCAATTATTTCTTCTATGGACCATGCCTTTGGTGTGATATCTCTAGTTTTATTCTTTTTCTTCTAGATCGCTTTGATTTTTATTGTACTGTTGTATTTCTATACAAGCTTTATATTCAGTGTGTTACTTTTCAAAAAGAAATTTAGTAAAATTTTGTTTAGGATTTTATTATATCTATAGATTTATTGGAGAAGAACTAGCATTCTCATCATTTCCATTATTGAGTCTTTCAATTAGTGAACATTGTATATTCCTCATTTTAGTTGGATTATCTCATAATGTTTTGTGGTTTTCAGTATAAGATTATTATGAATATTCTATTAGATTTCTTTCCAGGTATTTGATATTTTAACTATTGTAATGTATATTTCAACTTTTAGTTTTTGTTATTGTWGGTGTATATAAAGGCAATTCAGATTTGTATATTGACCTTGTATCCTGTGACATTGCTAACTTTATTTAATAATTGCAAATAAATTGTAGATTCTTCATGCTTTTTATGAAATACTTATCTTTTTTAAAAAGAGGATTTCTTCCCTTCCAATTGTTGTGCCTTTTGTTCCTTCTTTGTCTTATTCCACTGATTAGGGCCAATAGTAAATTACTGAATTGAAGTAGTAAGGTTGGGAATCCTATTCTCATTCTTGATCTCCAGAGGAAAGTTTCCAATAATTTATYACTAATGATGTGCACTATAGGTTTTAAAAGAAACTTTGATAGTTCCCTTCCATTTTCATTTGTTAACAATTTTAGCATTAATGTGTTCCGAATTATATCAAATGACATTTGATTTACCCACTGAGATGACCATTTTATTTTCTCTTTTATCTGTAAATAACAGATCAAATTTCAAATATTAAGCTGCATTGCATTCCTGRAATAGTCACCATTTTCTCTTAATTTATTGTTTTCCTCTTATATATCTCTGAAGTTTATTTGCTTAATATTTAAAATAAAATTCTATATACGTTTATAAAAGAAATTGGTTTGTTATTTTTCTTATCTTTCAAATTCAGGTTTGAGTGTTATAACTACTCAAATTTTGCTGGAGCTTAAATGATTTCAGAAATGTCTTTAATTTCTCTTTTCTAAGTTTTTATAAATTGGTATTTAATTTTTACATAATTATTTGAAAGAACCTATCACTCTGAGGTGAAAAGTTTTAATACAATATTTATTTAATAGATTTGACTAATCAGATTTTTTATTTATTCTTGCTTCATTTATGGAAAACAGGGTTTTTAAAGGATATTTTATATGAGTTGTCAAATTTATTGGCATGAAGTTATTCGTAATAGAATCTTTCAATTTTTTAAAAAGATATCTGTAGGATTGGTAATTATTTTTCTTTTTCTAATATTGTCAGTTGGTATTTTCTCTTTTATCTTTCTTCATCTAAAAGTTTTTGATTTTATTAAAAATTACAAAGAAACCCACTTACGGGTTTGCATATTTTTCACTGTTGAATATTTGCCATTTTCTTTTATATATGTTTGCTTGGGTGTGTTCTATGTATACCTCCATTGTCTATTCACATTTGATTTGCTGTTGTTTTTCTAGCTTCTTCATATGAAAGCTTGTATTGATTTTTTTAGTCTTGCTTCTCTAATGTGTGCATTTAAGATTTTAAATTCCCAAGTTCTGTTGTGATATGTCAGTTCACTTTTTAAAATTTCACATATCACTTCTCCATTGCAAAATTATTTTTTATTGGTTCCTTTTAGACATACATAACAGTACAATCCATTTTGACATTATTATACAAGTATGGAATATATCTTGTTCTAATTCAGACTCCAGTATTTCTCCTTCCCATTCCCTCTCCCCACCCCTGATGCCTACCCTATAATGATCTTTCTGCCATTTACCCATAGTTTTTTAAAAATTAATTATTGCGGATGTACCAAATGGTGAGATTCATTGTGGGATACTCATATATGTACATAGGAATGTTACATCAGATTCAAAATCAGCTTACTCCAGTGGTGCAGCCACATCAATGTTTATAGCAGCATTTTCAACAGATGAATGGATAAAGAAATTATGGTATATATATATATATATATATATATATATATATATATATATATTTCAGAGTATTACACAGAAAAAAAGAATGACTTTATGACATTGGCCAGTAACTGGGTGAATCTGGAGACTTTCATGCTAAGTGAAATAAACCAATCCCCCCCCCTCCAAACCAAAGGTCAAATGTTTTCTCTGAGATGGAAGCTAATACATAATAAGATGGGTTGGGAGAATAGAAGTTCAATGAAATAGATATGTCAGTTCTTACATTTCACATAGTTGAAATTACTTGAAAATTTCTATTGTGGTTTCTTTTTGACTCATGGGTTTTATTATTAATTTTGAAGTATTTGGGGATTTCTTGTCATATTTTAATTTCTGCATTATTCTGCTGCAGTCAAAAAGTATACTGAGTCATCTCAATATCTTTTATTTAAATATGAGGCTAGTTTTACAACCCAGAATATGGGCCATTTTCACATTTTATATACAAGTAATAATAATATGTATGCATGAGTGTGCTATGGATGTTGATGTATTTGAATATGATGTTTGTGTTGTTTAGATCTTCAGTATTCTTGTATGTGTGTATGTGTGCACATACATGGATGCATGCATATGTGCTTTTTCTTCTTATTCTATCAGAAATTGAGAAGATTGAGGTTTATCTACTTTTAATTTGTATTTCATCAATTTGATATTTTCTTTTATTCTGTACTTATCTTAGAGGGAAATATTCAGTCTTAAAACTCACATATT